TCAAGGTGGCTCATAAGTGCATATGGTGTTTGAGCACCGTAGGCTAAGGGTCAGTAACTTTGTTGTCATATATTCTGATATTATGTCTTAGCCTCTCAGAGAGAAAAGCAGCACTGTCAAGTGATCGCTACGTTCTGGTGACTTGGATTAGATGAATGCTGCTGGTCAGACCCAGTTATCCCAAATGACTGGAAAGACCTGGAGCAGGTCTTGTCTTTAGGGAGCCATAAAATTCTGGATGTTGTGGATTACACTGCAAATCCGCAAATCTGTTAACTTAGAAAGTCTGACTTATAAAGTCTTTACATATGAACTAACCACATTTAGTTTTCTAATACTATGTGTGACAAAGACATTGACTAACAGGCATTTTACCTTGAGCTTGATGCAGTGAGGTGTTAAATGACTGGATGGTGTCACTCATGTTGGAAACTCTCTGATCCACAGACCACAGATATTTCGATGTCTTTGTGTCTGAACACACAAAACGACAGCAAATAAAAATAATATTTAGCTAAGCTTGTGTTATAGTAACTAAAACAGTGAGCATTGCCTATAATGGAATAAACATGACAGCCTTACAAAGCAGATCAGCATAATCACAAAAAGGTCAGTGGAGTAAAATTAGTCATAAAGAAATCTCTGTTTATGTGTCTGTTTTATACTCACTGGTAACTCCAAGCACTATGATCAGAATCAACAGGACCACAGCAGTCAGACCAGGAAATAACCAGCGTTTGAACCTGGACATCGGTGAGACGAAGTACGGTGGAGAATCTGACAGAGACAGACATAGTTACTGCTTCACAAGTAGATCTTAAAATCCTAAAGTCAAATAAGTTGCCTACTCAAGCTCAAACAGATACCTTTGGTCCAGAGGGCAGTGTTGTCCCAATTATTCTCATAAGGTACGTCAGACATCGCGGCCACCTAGTCTGGTTAAATAAGAAATTTTAAAAAGTAAAGAAATCTGCACGAAAAGATTCTCAAAAAATAGCTATTCTAATCCTATTGCATTAACAGTGTGCTTGGGATTGTTGTCATGCCGAAAAATGAAGTGTTTAATTTTTTCATCTTTCTCAATGATTTGATTTTCAGATACTGTTTATCTGCAGCACAGTTTTTTGTTGTTTTTTTAGACTTGCCACTTCTTTGTACAGACAGTTTCCTGATTTTCTTAAGTCAAAATTTTCAGGTAATAGTTATTTGGGAATCACCTTGTTGGTGCAAAAATACTTGATTCCTGTCAAACTGTATTATATCAGATAATTGTCATAGATTGAGCCACAAAAACGGGAACTAATGGTGTGTTTTTGCAGCAGGCTGCTAGTAACAAAGTGCCTAAAGATACAGTTTTAAAATTGGTTCATTCTATAATGACGTGATGTAGTTGTGGAAGGAGACAATCAAAAGGATAGTTCGATGGTTTGAGATATTTATTCATGAGTGGGTCTTATTGTTCCCATGTGACAAAGACACATCCACTCCACATTTACATTTATACCTGCTGTTGCTTCACCTTTGATATCATATATGAGTATGTTGAAGACCCTTCTCTTGCTGGAGGTCTCCTGACCTCAACCTCCCCCGGACCTGCTGTTCCTGAAATAGTCTGAGTTACAGGGTACACGTCTCGTAGGCTCCCCTATCCTAACCTCAAACTGGGTTCATTAGACCCTTGTTCTAATTATAGAGGTCAGCAACATTTATAGAGCCTGAAAATGTGCCCAAAGATGGAAGTTCTTTATGTCCCCATAGGTAAATGAGGTCTATGCTGAAAATGTTAAGGAACTGGACTGAAAATGGGTGAAAAAGCAGCCAATGGAAAAAGAAGACCTTAAGAAAGCCTGGAGAACTTCTGCTCAAGACCATCTTAAAGTTTTGCTGCTTGGAAGCAAAGTATAAAGAATCAGTTCTGCATTTTAATTTAACCTGTTATAGATTTGAATCTTTATGTTGAAAAGAATCAAACCAAAGCAGTTTAAATGTAAACTCTTAACTGGATTTATGTATATTTTCAATAAATATACAAAGCTGTGTTAACATCAAGATGTAATAATAAAA